GGTCTGTGGACATGTGCGGTCTGTTGATATATGCAGTCTGTGGACATGTGCGGTCTGTTGATATATGAGGTCTGTGGATATATGCAGTCTGTGGATATATGCGGTCTGTGGACATGTACATTTCACAGCCTGCACGCTTGTTCAAGATTTCAGATTTTTTAACACAAGTACTGTACTTCTGCTGACCCTCCTGTTCTCAGGTACAACAATGATATGTGTGGGTCAGTTTGACACACGTCATTGTTAGTCGTCCAAAAGTGTCAGAAACCAAAATATTCCCATAAACAGTGTTTATATATCATGATTAATCCATTACTAACATTTCAATCAATATTTAATGCAATGTAGCTCACAGATCATGGTTCAATGCTGATATATAACTCGTTTTTTCATTAAAAAAAATGTGTATTTAAACATTTTTAATGTACATTGGAAAGTCCTGCATACAAAACAGAATGTTTTCCATGATATTGACTTTTCTAAAATGTAGTAATAATAGCTGTAAGCGTGTTGAACATTCGTATCTCAATTTTCAAATCAGATTACTGAGAGAAAATACAAAGTCTCCAGAGACGTGTTCTGCATCCCACAGACTGGCTGCTGACTCACAGACCCAGCCAGGAGTCCCAAACATGCATCCTGTCAGTTCTCCCTCAGATACACCGTCTCTTCAGATTAGCTGTTTTCAGAATGACTTTCTGTACCGAGCTCTGTCACACGAGTCACTGCCACACTAGTGGGACTTGGCACCGTTTGTTATTGTGTTTCGTGCAGACAGTTTTGGCTGATGTGTATCTCAGGATGAAGATCACTATATTTAACCATTTTTTGATAATATTGTTGTCCTTGGAGGGATATGAATAGCAGTTTCCTCATTTGGTTCATAATCTGAATCATCAGACTTCAAGATGTTCTTCAGCCACATCCTCCTCAGACGAATCTCCCACCCTGTGATCAAAGCTCCAGAGCCTGCAGGGCTCTCAGCTTTTTACTTCTGCTGCCCGTTTGGTAATAAACTGACAGGCTACAGAGTGTAATGTCTCCACTGCAGAGTCCTTATGTACTGTGCTCATTTCCTGCTGAGTGTACATTCAGTGTGGTTGGAGCTGGCCGGAGAGCAGAAAAGGTTCCCATCAAACGTCATAACATCACTTTACACATGAGGTCAGTAAGTCAGTTGTGTGTTTGAAGTGAAATATGGCTCACCCCGTTAGCCTCCACTTTGACTGCCAGGTCAAACTGACTCGAACCGTATCTATGTAATATGAACCTGCAGGGTTACAGATATGTCA